GATTTTTAAAAAGGAAAATTTTGTTTACTAATACATCTTTCGTTTATGGCTCATTGTGCAGATTTCCAATTCATAAATGAATGTTTTCTATGCTGTCGGATATATTACAATGAGTATCTGCTCTTCATGGCAGGACTAAATAGCAGAGAATTTATTACATTGTTGCTTTTGGATCGAATTATAACATTTTGGGCTCTCCATTTCCTGTTCCTGCTATAAAGTTTATTTTTTTCTTCACTTTTCTTTTGGCATCAGTTTCCACAAATGCATTGGGCATAATTCGTGAAGGATTGCATATCATATTAGATCATCTTACATTGGAGTTATTATGGAGTCAGAAGAAGTAGGCATTATTATTTCACTGAAAATAACCATTGAGTCATGAAGAAACTAAAAGGCAATTCAGCGAAAAAAACTTTCTTTATCAACGAAATCATCTTCAGAGGCTGTGCAGTCGTATTTATATTTACCAAAAATGTATAGTTGTCCACTATTGAGTAACAGGAGTGGTATGATTGATATAATAACTCAGATGTGGCTTCGAAAGTAAAAAAAATAAAAGTAGGACATTAGGTAATACTGAATGGCACAAAGTAAGAAATTGTTAGGAATTTGACAAGGTTAAAATTGTTATTGAGTGAGAAGAAAAGTAGTGGGGTGTCCGTTTAACAAGTGTGAAGAGAGTGAGAAAATGTAGAGAAGGAATATATGAGAGCTACTTCTAAGTAATTACATCATCCCTATTAATCAATAATGGACTACTATTATTATTGTGATTTCTTTCCCACGATGCTGTTGACAGGATTGTGGGATAAGTGGATTCCACCAGCATGGCAGCAATATTTCTCAGGTGAAGGGAAATCTAGTTAATGTTAAATTTAGTTTGTTCGTAAGCTGACAATGAAAAGTCCAAATAAATTTTCATCCTAGTGTGCAATTCTCTGACAGTGCATGCTTACCACTCTGTGTAGGATATGCCTATTAGGTTTTGAGAAAAAGGCCCAACCATTCATCATTGCACAGCCATAAATTATCTACCTTATCTGATTCGCAACATAGTGTCCCCCTATTCGCTCTCATCAGTATCCTACTTGTCCTGAGTTTGAAGTTTATTGAGGTCTTGAGAAAGTCGCTCTATAGATTCATAAATAGGAACTAATAGAAAGAGGGTGGAGGCGAAGAAATCTTTCTTTTCGACGAAGTCATCATCTGGGCTGTACATTCGTGTATTTATAGGAAATGGGTGAGAAAGTTCCAGAATTATTTCCGGTCAAGGGTCAAAACTGTTAAAATTACCAAGTGTACTAAACAGGAGGGTTGAGTAAAAAGCGTACTGGGATCATAAATATTGAAAAACCTGAATGTTTATGCAATTAGGGATGAAAAATGTAGTAATAACAAAATGGACAGGAAGTTCGGATAAAAAACATAGTAATGGAGATAGGGATTTATAAAAACTTAGAAATAACTGAAGTAAACAGGAAGGTTGGATAAGAAAGGTAACAGGATAATCATTATTGATAGAATTGACTTTTTACGAAGGGAGTTACCAGTTTTTAAACTTACTTCAAATTGAAGAATGTGCTGAGGACATTATCTGGAAAGACAGTGAAAGCTTATCAACTATCGAGCTCAGAGAACACAGCTACTCAAAAATCATCCACTTGAGCTACAAATCTTCTTCATTAGAGTTTTTACACCAATTACATTAAGTGATTTCTCTGATTTATTTTGTCATCTGATGAAATTAACACTCTAAGCGTTTATTTGTAGGGATTTCCTTGCTTTCATGGTATATTTTGCCAGCTGTGGGCACTTCTGTAGAGTCGTTAACTATAATAAAACGCTTGTTCAGTGGTCTCTGGTTATCGACGGTACTTTAACTGATATCAGTTATTGACGAAATCTGTCAATGAAATGAATTCGGATGACAATGTTATGTTTCTATAACTCTTTTGAAAAATGAAAACTCTAGGAATAAAAGGGTTTTTGATTAAGCTATAGTATAAGTATGACTTACTTCATTCACTTATCTAGGGAGCATTGCCTCAACTACAGGAGGAACCGACGAGGATGTCAAATCGAGAATCGGGAAGGCGAGAAACACATTCATCATCAACCTGAAACCAATCTGGAAATCTTCGTCACTCAGCTCAGCATCAACAACAAAATTCGGATTTTCAATACAAACGTCAAGTCAGTCAGTTCTTCTATACGGATCAGAAACTTGTCGGGTCACCAAGAATATTTCCAACAGGCTGCAGACCTTTGTTAACAAATGGCCGGAAAGAATCACCGACAAGAAACTATGGGAAGAAACAAAACAAGAACCAATTGCCCAACAAATATGCAGGCGAAAGTGGAGATGGATTGGACACTCGCTGAGGAGGCCGCTGGGTGACATCGCGCGTCAGGCCAGTGCTCGAGTGGAACCCGGAAGGGAAGTGGCGAGTGGGACGTCCAAGGGTGACATGGAGGAGATCGTGTGAAGAAGAGTTGAAACAGTATGGACTAACATGGTTGCAGGTGGAAAGTACAGCAGAAGACAGAAGCAAGTGGAGACGTGCAGTTGAAGCCCTATGTTCCACTAGGAACCCAAGGGAACAATGATAATAATAAGTATGACTTTTCTAATATATTACGTTTCTTCATTACTTTTCTGGAGGAAAATCTTAAAAACTTGCCTTCACGATACACGCCTGAAATTAGCATACAAGTAGGTCTAGTCCAGATTTTCTATGGTTGTGGTGTTTGAGATTTTTTGTTGTTTTTTTAGTAGCATTTGCTTTTTAAAGTTTCTTAATTGAATGTACCATTTTAGTGCAAATGATTGATACTTTGTTTACTTCAAGCGTGATTATACAGCCTGATAATAAAATCGCTGAAGTGAAGGAGAAGGAAAGTTTGGTATTTCTTCACTAGATTGTAACTGTTATGTATTTGTGCAATGGATTAACCACATGCGGATTTAGGGAAAAAATGTAGACAAATCAGTCAATTCTATAGACTATATTCTACCTTTGTTTATGTTAATCTATTATACAGAATTAACTGATCAGCTATTTTCATCACTCCAGGAGTAAATTGGAAATTTTGTTTGGGGGAGGGCATTTAAGCCCTTTAGAGTATTTTCACTTTTTTGAACAGTGAAAGTTTAATAAGAAGTTTGTATACAATGACAGCTGTTAAATCTGAAAATATGTCAAACAGAACTTCGAATAAGTTAAAATATAGTATTTCTGCTTACATCACATTAACAGGGATTGAGTCAATACAGGGAAGATGCATGACAAGTAAATGCAAACAATCAACATACCAGTAATCATAGGAAACACTACTTAATAAAAATTCTAAAAAAATGAACGATAACGAAGCTCTTCAAAGTTTAGATAGTAAGAAGTGGAAACCTCTTGATTACTGAGATTATGTTAATTTAAGTTATTAAATATCAACTCTAACTATCCTGCTTACTACAGTCGCAAAGACTGTACTTCTTTAGGCAACTAAAGCCAGCATTTATTTGTATTATGCTTTCGTTTAATTTTCCTATGGTCTCTCCAGTACTACTGAAAGGAGTAGGTAGGTCTATGGAACACGTTTCCGAAGAATCCTAATGAAGATCACTTAGTTTATCTGTCTACCTCTGGCATTCATAATGACTGAGTATTGATTAAGTAATACTTGGAATATCTCATGACTGAAATGTTTATTGAGCAAACGGAAGTCTTATTGTGTCTGCTAACCTTAGAAGTCACGTTTTTATTTATGTAGATATATGTTTAGATATCATTCAGATATCTTTTTGAAGGCACATGTTAGATAGTGCTAATGACATTCATTGTATTATGGTTTAGCATTCATTAAAGCACCTTCATAGGTAAGCAATGCTTCATTTTTAATCATTTTGTTGTGGTAGTATTAGACGTGAACATGTAGACTTATAATGGTGACAAGCAAAACGTAATCTACCATAGATGCTGTATCAAGTGACTTAAACTTGTTCTTTGTATACAGAAAGGTTCACTTATTATTATTGTTTACCTTCTCACTAACCTCACGTATATTCCGAGGTTCGATTCCCGACCGATGTACTCCCATACCTGGCTTATTCTGTAGCGGGCTCCGTAGAGAGGGAGGGTTGGGTGCAAAATTAGTAATCGCATTCCATGAAACAAAGCACGATCACTACTGAGACTCCAGAGTTGAATCTTGAGGCCCTATGTTCCACACAGAATGGAAAAGATTGAAAAAACTCCTACCTAGAAAAAAAATTGAAGACACATTAATTTATATCTTCATCTCTCCCTATTCATTTTCAGTTCTACCTTTCACTATCTAGATTCTGTTTATTCCAATACCACTGCTTATCAGGGTTGTTTTTCCCCACTAAGGTTGGTTAATCTACTACACTAGTTTGTCATGGTCATTTTCTACCAACGTTATCTGTAACCTTTTCATACAGCTGCCTTTATTTTCTTTACCATACCAATTCACTTAAATTATAAATAGATTACCTCTGAATAGTTTTCTTCATCTTGTCCAGTTGTGTTAGTTCTATCACTCAAAACATCTGTGTTATTATCAATCCCAAATCAATACATATATGTCAACATTTTATGAAAGTATGTTATGTGTATTCATCACTGTGTATTAAATAAATTAGATTTTTGATAAACTACAAAGTGTTTGAAGATAAATCAAGAAAATAGATGAATTCAAGTTCTGTTGATAACTGTTCACTTCTCATTCAATGGAGATCTGTAAGTGAGAGTAAAAAAATATTTGTATATTATTTACCAGGTAGTATTTTTAACCAATAGGATTATTTCAAATACCTGATCTTATATAATTTATCATAATAAATTGAACCAATAGTATTTGTATAAGAGTTGTAGTATTTTATAGTCAAAGGATGGTAGCAAATCAAATGTTAGCAGATGTTGAATTATATTAATATATATTAATAATTATGAAATGAGTCTTTTCAGTTTTTATATTAAGCTGTGTAGAATGATTTCTTACTTTAATATTTTCCCTGTTGTATATTCTACATTAACGTACACATTTATGCTATCAATCATTGAATAATGATTTTACCTGATGATCAACATATTCTAATAGAGATAATGATAGATTTCACCTAACTTTTTTTAAAAATGAATACCAACCTGAAGAATAGTTGTGAGTCAACTACAGAAGAAAATGATCTCACAACAACTATACACGATTCATCAAATTCTTTTCAAAATGTAACAGAATCAAACCCAAAACCTACTGAATTAAACCAATTATGGAAAGGTGATATAACTGTAGATAGCCCGAATAAGTCATCTGATTTAAAATTAACTAAAATGTCTACTGAGGATATTAGAAGATCATCAGCTATACGTTCTGATCAGACATTAAATGTTTCACATCTTTTATATCCAACTAGTTCATTGACACACGCAGCTTCAGCTCATTCAAGTTATTTACGAATTCCATCTATATGTGATCAAATGAATGATGCAGCTGTATCAACACATTCAGCTGACTGGTCAAGATCATTGCATAGATCAAGTTGTTTTAATACACCAGAAAGTTTAAATGAAGAAGATCGTAAATTTGCTCAAGCTACAGCTCGTGCTGTATTGGCTGCTAGTGCTAGACAATCACGTACAGCATTGACAGATTTACCATTAGATTTTTTTACAAATATTTCTGATTTTTCCAACACAGGAAATAAATTAAGCTCATCATCAGTTCAACAATTATCAAATAGAATTCGTTCAACTAATGAAAGTGCATTGAACGTAAATAGATTATATTTACCTGCATCAAAATTCTATGAAGATTCTAAAGATCGTCGTAATAATCGAAAATTTAGTGCACTATGTGTTCATAGTTTCGATGATACAATACATGATAGTGTATTAAGATATAGACGAGATAAATCACCAATTCCTGCTACATTACGTAATTCTACTAACATAATGCGTAATAGTGCAATTAACTTATCTAATTTTACACAAACAAACTATTTACATGCATTACAATCAACACCATCATCATCTACACCAAAGAATACTACTTCATTAAAACAAAATCCAAGAACTCTGAGAAGTCTGGCCAGACAAACATCACATTCAATAAACAGACCATTGAAACGGTTAGCTGCTAGTTTCCGTCTAACTAAATCAAATGGAAATTCAGCATCAACAACAAATTATAAAGGTTATCTTCGTAATGTTGGCTTGAAATCAGCAGATACCATGTCAAGTTGTAATTCTGTTGTTAATAATATTGATTCAACAATGAATGATTCAAACAGTAGTCTTAAAAATTCAAGAACACGTAGTGTAATGCTACAGACAGATCAAGATTTTGCTAATGAAATTAAACGTGAAAAAAGTTTACGCAAAGGTCATTTATTATTCAGTGAAAATTCATGCGATAAACGAATCAAATCTGAAATGAGTGAGTCAACAGATAATGAATCAGACAGTTTATTAACTCAAGAAGAAAAACCAAGTGGATCATTTCACTTAAAAGAACAATTTTTTGCATTTTTCCAACCAACTGGAAATAAACTAGCTATGAAATTATTTGGCACAAAATTAGCTTTAGACAGAGAAAGATTAAGGCAAGAACAACAAGGTGACTGGATTATACATCCGTGTAGTAATTTTCGGTAAGTTCACTTGTGGTAAGAACAACTGGAGCTATTGATCCATTTTAATTTATGTCAGAATCTAAACATTTTTTTTTGTTGCACCTCATTCAAATATTGCCTTTTGCCAATTTTGTTGACAAAGGAACTATCTAAAACTAAGTCATTGTTCTCTGATCTCACCCTTCTCTTTTCAAACCCAATGTCTTAAAAAACTAGAGTTTATTAGTGGGTCATTTAGGTAATATACCTTTGGCTGATTTCAGTAAAATCATTTGTTTACATGTGACTGGCACTAATTGCATATCTATGGTCTAGCACAAGAATTTTATGCTCTTACATTCGGTTAATCAAGAAAAGCACAGAAAGCCGAGTTTAAAGTAGAGAAAAGTCATTCTACGTTTGTTTTTTTTAGATTTTAGTCATCATTGAAATTTTTATGTTTGAAAATCAGCTACTCACAAACTACTAATGCCAGATATCAGTTTCCATCATTTCATTCATTCCTGATATCTGCTCTCAGATAAGTGCTATAAAACAGAAACTTCAAAAAATGGAAATGGACTCAACCAAGGAGTTCAAATGTAGACTATGAAAAGATAAATTTATTCAATAAAATAATCCGTAATAAATCGTAAGTGGAAACGTATAATGAGTGTATATGAACACAGTAACTGCGAATTACTGCATTGTATATTACCATCGGTTCTCACAACAGGCTTACACAAAAAGTCAGATTAAGGTTGATGGCGAAGCAAACTGCTGACCTAAATAATAAGTAACCGGATTTTTAAAGTATCATGTAACCTTACCCCTTCGATCCACCAATGTTCTTCCCTAATAAGAAAAAGAGAGGTAATTGTCAAGAAGCTTTATGATTATTTTCATTATTTTTAAATTTCTATTGGAAGCCGTTATCACATATTATACTCCTTGTGTGATTGCAGCTTTTAAACCTCGAAATACACTTTTATTTTGTCCAGAAGGTTTTGAACTCAAGAAACATTAGCATTTTATACAGCTTCACTTATTACATACATTTCAAAGCGGAACGAACACAAAGAACTTAACTGGTGGAAGGTAGATAAGGCAAAACTGCTGTTTTCCAGGTTCAGTTTTAAGTTTTCGCTTTATTCTGGTTAGCTGTCTCAGCTATGATGATGTTTCCGCTAATATTGGGTTACATGTTAACTAAAACTGGAGTACACAGAACTCAGTGTGGAAAACACTGACTACATTAGTGAAGATAACTACATCACATAAGGTGCAGTTGAAAAAAATTATTCATTTATGTTAGATAGCGATTAAAACTGAGATGAATGGGTGGATGTGATTGAAATTAAATACACACAAGAATGATATTTCGCTAAAGTTATTTTGAATTTCCCTTTGAGCTGCTGCTGCTGGATTCAACATAGAACTTGGCACCGAGGTGCAGCAGTTCGAGTTGCCACGTTCCAAAGAGCACACAAAGGTAGACAGGAAAATGAGAGAAGGGAATCAATAGAATTTAGATAAGTATAAGAGTGAAACAGAATGAGTAATGGTGAAATAGAAAGGTTAAGAACTGGATACATCTGCGATATATAAACATTCCGCCCAGATGATCAGTCTCTGTTGAAATGACGCTTTGATGATGTCTGGAGATTGAAATGATGTTCTTAGTTTTAAGGTGGTTAGCAGAGAAATCCAGAATGCGCGAAACATGTTATTTGGAACATATCAGCTGGGTATACGACTGCTAGCCACCACCAAGTAAATTACATCATGTTAATACATGTGATAGGATAGTGGATAATAAGATATGTTTAAAATGTCATCCAGTAAATTATACGGTTTTACTATGTGATATATCCAACGAACAAATTGACATTATATTAACCTTTAGGTTTTGTTGAAACCTCCATGCTAAGAGCCTAACATAAAATCAGCTGCAGAGAATTTCGGCCCTATTTAGATGAATAACAACCGATAACTGCTTCAAAAAGAGGTGGACCTCATGGTCCAGTGGCACGAATGCTCGGTCTAAATTTCAATGGGGACATCATTATTCTGTCGAAGGATAGGGAACAAAATGCGTATCCTGAACTCCACCACTGGTCGTTCTCAGCCAAACAACAGAAACAAGTTTTTTTGAAATTTAAGATGTACTGTCTTTCTGACGTATAGTCAAGTAAACATATTCTCCGTGTCAGATTATTATAATATGGAGTGAGGATATATTTTTATTATGTGAATTAGTAGAATTTTACCGTAAAGGGAGGAATAATGCATGTAAAGATAAGGTCTTAATAATAATTTGTTTTTAATGATTAGCTCACTGAATAGTGACGAAGTAGGCTGGACGATTTTTGCTTTAATTTCACCAATTCACCCTTAGATAACGTTGGGGTTAGTTGATGCCAGCATATTTAAAGATGACATACTGTTCAGTTTGTCGGTAAAACACATCCAGACATGAAATGTTTAATGTCGTATTAGTTGAGGATGTTTTTAATTGAAATTTTGGATTGGAAACTATATCTTTGGTGTTATTAGTGAGAAGCTATTTCTTAGAAATATTTTTACACACAAACCATTCAACTACCTTATTTTAATTTTGTTTGTTCGTTAGGAACTGATAGTTTCTCATTAACTGATGCCAGCTAGAAATCCAGTAGAAATTGGACAGTTACACAGTCTTTAAAAGTAGGGACTCTACATAACGAGTAGGATCAATTTCATCTTGAGACCTGCCGGTTCTGAACTTAACAATATTTGGAGTTTAGGTAGCATGTGTTTACTTCTCACCGGTTATTAAGCAGTTAAGTACCATAAACGTTTTTGAAAACAACAATTATTACTGTTATTTATGTACAACTACTGAGCCGTAGATACCAACTGGTTATTGCCTATAGGCTTAAACGTCTATTATCTAATGATTAGATCATATTGACTTTAAGCCCTACATTGACTACTTCTCTGGCTTTTCCTTTGTAATGATTTCAATGATACAAATATAACTTAGGAATAGTTGACTGTGTTAGTTTTTCACTATCATCATGCAAAATTTAAGGAACATGTTATTTAATGAATAAATATATTTTGATATTTTTAGGGCAGGATATTATCTTTCCAATCATTATGTTATATTTGGGTAAACCTAATCAGCCCTCGTTGACAGGTTTCTTTCGTGAACTAATTATCAAACAACTCTGTAATATCATAAGTTTCCAGACCGTACATGTTGCAAACTTTCTGGAATAATTTGAACGCCGGATCAGATTGATTCATTATAAATTATTTAAATTAATCCCAGCATGTTTAAGAAAAAATCAAAATAAGATTTTTCTGAATGTTTCGCTGTGTAAGCCACAGCATCTTCAGAAGAATTATTCGGATTTTTGTCAAATAACTCCGTAATAGTTCAGTTCAACTTTCAGATTTTCCTGTCGATCACTCACAGGGAAATGCAGCTACATCCAGTGATAAGTCTCAGATAGGACGAAATGCTCGTCCTGGATTCCCCTGCTAGTCATCCTGTAATAGGCTTAAAGATTTGTGTCATTCTATTGATACAGTTATATTAAAGGGTGTAATTAAGTGATTCAAAGGTGAGATGAAATTATGCGAACTGATTTATAGTTTTTTTGCATTTAGGAAAACCAAAAGGTGATTGTTCTATACACACAGGGACTTTTATCTTAATATTTGTCAGATTTTTATTGGCCTCGGTAAAGTTATGCAGTACTCCTTGATATGCAGTACCGATGTGATTCCGTACAAAGTTATTGAGAAGTAAGAGTAGAGCACATTTTCCGCAATGGTTGTAGATATTCCAGCAATTAACTCAACTTTAGTGTTTGACTTTCCAAAGTATAGTCAATATGTATAACTCTGGGAGTTAACGAAGGCAAAGCTACAAGGCGTAATGGCGCTAGGCCGTAGTTTAATTAAATTTGCGGTAATGAGGTCCGTGAAAAAGGGGTTTTCACCAAATAATTACATTTCCAATTGAATCTATGGTGTGCACCTGTTTTAGCTCAGATTTTAAAATATTTGTGATGGCTTGTTTTGTTTGGCTGAGTGGATATTTCGTTGTCAGCCCAACCGTTACCCAGTTTTATCTCATTTCTGGGCTTAAGCTTAGTAGCTTAAAACACAATTACTCACAAATATTGTTGTGCTTGGAATCGACAATAACTACCTGGAAGACAGACGTATCCTCGAACTATTTACGTCACAAATATTTCGCTGTTTATACATTAACTTGGATCGTTTACACAAAAAGCACTATTTACTAAAGCCTATGAAGCAGAGTGGATTGTAGCAGTACACTTGTCGAAGTTTCCGGCAAATAATAATTTCACGACAGAAACTATTTTCCAGCCAACTGACCAACAATTTTAATTTTAAACGTGCTTGTTCTTCATGATGAATTAAAGACACGCAACACGTGTGAAAAGAAGAGTTACTCAATGAACCTAAAAAGTTCGGTTAGACTTGTCAGCTAAACACTCAAAAACAGACTAGAAGCCTAACAAGCATAGAAACAATATAGATATAGTGATGGTATTAATTCAATGCAAAAAGTGATTGAAAGTCATATGTAATAGTAAAAAAAGTAGTAAAATTTGTGAAGTCATATGCAAACTGGAGTTGCAGGGATAAAAGCATCAAAAAGTATTCATATTTATGAATTAGAGATGTATGTAAATAAGCGCAGTATATCTGACAGGCGTTAAAAATGAATTCACTAAATTCGAAATTAATTTGGAACATTCTATGACAAGATTGATACTTGTATTCTAATGCCTGGAGAATAAAAGTTAGAAAACTCCAAGAAAAAAGGCAGGCAGAAAAGTAAACAGAGGAAAGTAGTTCGACAGTACACTGCCACAGAAGATTCCGAATGATTACGGATTTTTTCTGTGGCCAAAATTCGGCATGTGAAATAAGAAAACCTTCTGAATACTACGTAGTTTTTCTTTATTTGATTTATTAATAACCTCAAAATGTTTACAGTAGAAGTTACTAAACAA